CGTTTAGCTTTACATTTTATCAGTTGGATGTGTTTAGTCCAGTAGAAATTACTTTGAAATGATCAAGCTTGTTGAATGCAAATAGTAGGGCAGTTGACTCGGTGGGGTTCATAGAAATTCTCCATTTACTTTGCTGTACTTATGGATGCAATCCAGAGCCTCTTGGGCAATAGATGGAATCTTGCCCAGCCTTGCCCTCAAGTTACTTTGGATCCAGATAGCCGTGTCGTCTGCAAATTGGGAGATGGTAGCCCCTTGTGGGAGATCATTTACAAACAGGCGAATGAGGAGGGGAGCAAGAACTGAACCTTGGGGGACTCCTGCAGAGATTGAAAATGATTGAGAGATTGCATCATCTACTTTAAGAGTGCGGTCACTAAGGTATGATTCAACAAAAGCAACCAGGTCAAGGGGGAGGTTATAATTAAATCTGAGTTTGTAGAGTAACCCCCTATGCCAAACTCTATCGAATGCCTTCTCTACATCAAAGAAAAGTGCAAGTAATGGGACGTTCTTATTTGCGGCATTCAATATGTCATTTTGCAGACGGAAAAGATGCTAGCCTCTCAGTTATTCTTTCTAGGTCCTTGCCCAGGACACTGAATAGGCTATTAGGCCGGTAAGAAGAAGGTTTACTTAAGTCTTTGTTCGGCTTAGGGATCATTGATACGAAAGCTTCCTTCCAGGCTCATTTCTCATCTGGTATATGTAGTTCTTTCTGGTCTGGACTCCACGATTCTGTGTCGAATATGAGGATAGCAAATAAGAAACTGTCAAAGTTTATTAATTGCTACAATGAGGCTCGGCGAGACATATGGGGAGATACGAACCACTCCTGTGAGGGATTCTTCCATGAATAGAGGGAAAGGTTCTTTTGTGTCCTGGGAGAAATGAAAGGCCCATGCTGCCATCTAGTGGCCTTGAGGAGAACCTCGACGTTTTCCACTAAAACTTCTCAGTGCAACGTAGGCACGTTGGATCGATGATTGAATGGCAATATTGCGAAGCCGATATTTAGCCGCTATTGGCAATATAGGCCAAGGGACAGCCATTGTTGGTCCGGCATTAAACTAAAATCTGATGCTACAGGGGTGGGGAGTGAGCAATATAATAAGTGACATGACAAAGTTGACCCAACGTTCAGCAACTTGAACGTTCATCTGAGTATTGCGATAAGCGACATTTTGAAGATTCGTTTGTTACCTGAGTTCTTCACCCCCCCCCCCCCCCCCCCCCCCCTTTAGGGGGGGGGGGGGGGGGGGGGGGACCTGGTTTTTCCCCCCCCCCCCCCCCCCCCCCCCCTTTCAGGGATGGGGTAGAGAGGGGAGGAATTATTGATATATTTCGATCGAGTGGCGGGAAATATATGACTCAAGGGAAAGGGGATTCTGCGATTCATCCTCAGAGACCGAGCCGCCGACTGTGGTCTGATTGGCCGTCGCCCGCCTCGACGCGCATGCGCCACACAGAATTCCGCCCGGAAGTCTTTGTGTTTTCTCAACGCTGTTTTTTTTTCGCGGCGTCGATTCGTCGCTCTGAAAACTCTGGGTGCGTTATAAGGTTTCTTGTAATTAAGTTTTCTGTCTCGTTTCACTTCGTCGACGCCCCCTCGCAAGAACAAGGCACGCTCCAGGTCCTTCGAGCACGAAGGTCATCGATCGGATGTCCAACTTGGCATCCACAGCGCTGATGGTGAACTCACGGTCCCCATCGTGACCCTAGGGAGGAATGCGCGCAGCCCCCTGTCATCATTCCGACCGGACCTGCAGTATTTATTGTGGGATTGCAGCATATTGTAACGGCCCAGCCGGCACGACACCCGGTGAGTGGCCTGGCAGGACTGCCGGTATGCGAGGGAAGAGCTCTCTATGAGTCGCCCAGGGAGACCGCAGTATATGCATGACCCCCTAGGTGTCACGCCTGACCTCTGACCCTTGACCCCAATCGAGAGATCTCTCTTAGTAACCCTCTATATGTCTTTTGTTCTCGACCACCTCTCTTTTCATTTCCGTCTGGCACTCACAGACTAGAGGCAGAGTTATGCTTATATTTTAATCCAGTAATTCGGCGTCCAAGCGCCAGGAAAGGATGGCCTGTCTCGCAAGATCGCACGCGCCTGAGGAGTGAGGATTCCCGTTCCCCCCGTTTTTTTGGAGATCGAGAGAAGAGAGAGCTGATTACAGCCCACTTGGTTGTCCTTTTTCGGCTTATCGTCCACGGGCGATAAGCCTCTGCCCCTTTACCCTGCGGTATTAAATATTCCCGACGTCCTGAACCTTCTAGTTCCTTGGGAGCAGACGTTCCCGATCTCCTGACACTTCTCGTCCCTCGGGATGAGATATTTCCGATTCCCTGATTCCTTTCGTCTCATAGTGTAGATATCCCGATCGTCATATTCCAGGATCTTTGATTGATTGGCCGAGGACTATAGTTTGTGTACCAGCTTAACCAGTCAACGACGTGGTCTTATCCCTTTTATCCCCTTGGTGCGATCTTGGCCGCTGTGCCTTGTTTTTCTTATAATAAACCCTGATTTGTATCAGCCCTGACCTACAGTGTTGTGATTCCCACCACCAGTAGAGGAGCACGCACGGAACCGTAACAATATATTAGATTGTGGGATTCATGATTTAGCGATGGATTCACTTCGAAATTTTCGGGCCGGATCTAAATACATCCTCGGGTGGATCACCCTGCTTCATCTAGAAATACCTGTTGTGACCGTCCAAATTGCGCCTCGTGCTACCCAACGACCTTCACTGCCATCTAGCGAGCGTGGGATGTAGCTGCCCCCCCCCCCCTTCTCTTTCGGCTAGCTTTAGCTCCTCCCCTCAGGTCGCTATCGCCTGAAGCCCGTTGTGACGTCACTGACTGCCTCCGCTCCATTCCATTTTCCTTGTCTTCTGTCACTTCCCTGCTACTGCTACGACGAGCTTTATGGTTTCCACTGCAATGTAAGTCGACGGCTGTGCTGGACGGGTCGAGGCCCTCGTTGCGTGCTTGATCCGCAGGCTGTCGCCTTCAGATGCGCTTGCGAAGTGGGCTGGGCTGGGTCGGTCTCGCTGGGCTGTGGCTTGTTTTTCTGCTTTTGTCGGTCGGTGATGGGTGGGAGGAATTATTCCGTGATGCGGGGAAATGGTTGAATGCTGACGCGTACGGGTTGCTTGGTCCGAAGATGAAGAGGTAAATAAACTTGCTTCGCAAACTGTCAAACACTGGCTTGGTCATTTTCATCCTGATCTGAAATTACACGGAAATAAAATATAAATATAAAATAATATAAATAAAATAAACATAAAAGAAGATAGCGCAAAAGTAAAAGCACACAGGATAGGGGACAGACAGGAAAAACTGGATTCCAGACTGGGAATCGATTTGAGACTCGACACTCGATCGACATCTCATAGAACCGAGAATTCAAGACGCACATTTGAAAATTAAAACTTTGAGAAAATGAACCAATCGAGATATTGGCGGCTCGAGACTCAAATAATAAATTGTTTCCTCCGTTACGGCTCAGTTCATTATTGAACTCGTAGAATCCTCACTTGGAAAACCTTATTTTTGTTTCGTTTTACCTAAACTTAAACTGAGTGAATCTGAAGAAAAAAAATAAAACGTTCAGATTGATCACTTTCAAGGAATCAGCAAGGACCGGAAAAGTGCGACCCCCGCGGCTCGAGTGCATGCGAAACATTGTGGTGCCATTGGAAAGGATGTCGTTGTTTAACCCGTTAGGTGATTATTATTGCATTTCCATCGACTAAGCCTGGACAGCTTTGCAGGGATGCCATCAAACCAACTTCGATGGAGGATGACAGGAATCGTGGCAGAATGCAATGAGAAGGAAATTATTTATGCTATCACCAACTCTTATGACTGGTATAGATGCCATTATTGAAATGGCATCTATCCATTGCTCATCTCCGTTGCTCAAATCCTTGTGGTCCGCTTTTGTGTGTCTTTGCTTACTGCATATTTTGCATGATTACTTTAAAAAATTTTTGCATTTGGTTTCTGATGTAGATTTAAGTTCTTATTTTAATTATTAAAGTTTTAATGATGTTTTATTTTCTTCTATTTCGACTGAATCTCCTTCAATAGAAAAAGTTATCCCAGCAACACTGCGTTTTACATGGCGGTACCCATCGCTGCGAAAGGCGGACGCCTCTTTGTTCTGCTCATCTTTGAAACATTTAGTCTTTTATTAACTCATGACTTGACCTGATGAAGTTCCATGAAATGAACTAACGCCCATGTTTTGGGATGGAGCTAGCTTTCTTCTTGCACGCATTATTGAACGAGCAGATTAAACCTTTCATAGATTATAATCTGTTTGAATCTATTGATCGACGCCTGTGGAGGGCCCGTATACGGATGCCTTCAAGCTACGGTTGTGGGACGTTCCTTCGATACAATCCTGAATTTTTACACTTACCGTAGGCCCAAGCTCCCATGTGAGGCTAGGCCTATGCTTGGTTGACTTAGTATTTCCATCAGACCATTCTCATATGGACGAAGCTTTTCCTGCTCGCGGTGCAGGTGGAAGCCACGAATTTGTTTTATTGGCTGATGGAGTGGAGTCCCCAGTCTTGAGAGGATAAACTTCAATTTTATGCAAAGGATCAATTTGTATGGTTATCCAGTCACTATATCATTAGGATTACTAATACATTGTTTTCATTGTGATAGTTATAAACTCTGAAGCCTTTGTTTTGTCCTTGAGTCAAATTTTGAGCTACCTCTAGTCTGCTTCTGCATTGGTTATGGTAGATGTACAATGCTCCAACAGAAACTTGTTGTTAGCTATCTCTAATATAAGCTTAGTGTTGAGCTATACCTGGAAGCTTCAAGGAGGTCATATCTTCTTAAGTTAGAACATCGATAGTTCATGTTGAGTTATTTCAATGTGTTTGATCAGTAAATTTGAAGTTGCTTGTCTTTTACAATATGTCAGGTTTCACCAGAGTTGAATTTTCAATGTACTTTCTTATTTTCCAAAGTTAGGCATAGTATTCACCCCTTCATGTTGAGGTGCTGGATGCCCATGTCCTGTGGACTAATGAGCAGCACAGTCCATGGCAGAGGTTCATATTATTGGGAATATCAAAGGAGCAAGTGACTTTGAAAGTCGATCCCTATTTTGCAAGTGGGCATTACACACTGGAGGTGCATGGAAATTGCTTGAAGGAAGCAAGCAAGGCCAGACCCAAGTCGACACCCCTGCATTTGGGGACACCAGCTACTGGTGTCATCCGATCGATGTCCATTACGCCACGAGGGGCTTGCAGAACTGGCCTAAGTTTCATTGTCAGGTGTATAACTTGGACAGTTATGGAAGGTGTGAGCTAAGTGGTTACGGCGTGTGCCACGTCCCCTCAGTGCCGGGTTCATACGAACTGGACGTACCGTGTTGGCGCCCTGTTGGTTCCTTTAGAGAGGAGTTTGCCCGCTTTTTCCTTGGTGGCTCCACTGAGCTGAAACAGCAAGAGACGGTGTACGACAGCACTGATCGCTACCGCCTCCAGACGATCGCAACAGGCAAGGTTCATCTTGAGCTCAATGTGGTGACAAGAAAGTTTGATCGCTTTGGGATTGAGTTTCAGTGAAAAACACCATCATGGACGACGTTGGTAAAAGTCTGAACTTAGAAGGTGTAATGGTGCCGCAAGATGATGATGATGACGAGGAAGAGGAAGAAAGGAAGGAGCGAGAGAGACAGGTCAGTTTCTTCAGATTTCTTCCCATTCTGCACATGAATTTTGCTTGGCTTATCAGCATCCAGTGATTCAAAGTGAAAGTGTCCCATATATTGAATAATATTAAATCCCTCATAAAAGAGTTAAAAGTGTCTATTGCAACTTACTTATCCTTGAATCATTATTTTATTCCTATATGCTTGCCCTAAGGATTGAGAGGTGAGCCAAGTGTGATATATTCTCTTCTATATTGTTCCTTTGCCCTATGCTGTCCCTGTGTGCTCCCTGAATCACTATTTATTACATCGGAATCCATATCATTCCCTACACCAGCTTCAGCATCTCCTGGTCAATGCATTTGATGACCTGATTGAGGAAGATGATGAAGATGATCCCAATACCTCACGAGAATCTCACACCATCCACAACACGCACAGTTCTGGCTATTCCCAGTTCCAGAGGAATTTCCAGAAACAGCTGCAACAGATGGTGACGAATCAATCGACTCCATTGTCCGAAGCGCAAGTGATGCAGCCCAAGACCCTAGTGAATGGTCACCCATTCCGTTACATGAATGGGGGGACTCCATCCATTCCTGTTGTTCCTGGACATACAAATAAGGAGGATGATATCTTTGCAAGTAATGCTGGTCAGGGAGATCGCAGGCATGCAACAACTGATCTTCAACATGCATACGACCAGGCCGGTTGGTGTCCACCTATTTTCTCTTTTACTTCTGTTTTTTGAAATGCTGTTCAACTTAGAAGAAACAAGGAAGTGTTGCTCTGCTATTGGAAAAGTGATACTGGAGTTTTGTCTTTAGTATTTCTCCCTGTGGTGAGTTAAACTGATTTATTTCCAAAATTGCCAAAAAAAAAGACTAAAAGGTTCTGCAATAAAGAGCAAAAATATGATATATCCATTTTGGTTGTATATGTATGAGTGTAAACATCAAAAGTTCCCTTCTTAAAGTGATACTTGTATCAAAGCAAAACTAAAGGGCCACTTTTCCTTAATGCTCATGTTTTCTAAGTCCTGTCTGACATAAATGTTTCTTGAGTGTGAAGAACTATATGTTTCATATTTATGCCAAAGTTCTGGCCCTGAACCATGACTACATTGGGTCAAACTGACACAATTAAATAATTGTTTTCCATGAAGGTGGCAACAGAGAGGTCCAGCTAGAGATCCTCTATGAGGCAAGAGGACAAGAAATCGAGAAGCTGACTCTCCAGCTGGAAGAGACAGGGAAGGCCTACACGCGAGAGCTCCGCTCGCTCCGTCACCAGATTGCCCTCCTCACGAGTGAACGAGATGGACTGACTGTTAGCCTCCAGAGTGCACAAGAGCTACTTGGTGAGACTTTTCACTGATCTGCTTTTCTATTCCTTTTCAGGAGGTTGTCTTCAGTACAAATGCTTTTGTTTAATCTGTAGGTGAGCAGAAAAATCAGAATATTGAGCTGCTAGGAAGGGTCCAGTCCTTAGAAGTGAGGCTGAAGGCTCTCCAGGATGCCAAGGATGAGGTGTGGAACTTTTTCCTTCATATTCTTGTGACATAATTCCAAGTCATTTTTAATGTTGTTGTATTTAATTATAGCATGAAATATTTTGGCATTATGCATTGTTGTTTGGAAGGTTCTTGTGAAAGGAATTCATATCCAATCCATATCATTTGGCCATAAATATGTTTTACTTCCAAAACTGAAATCCCCAGTCATTATATGTTTTAAGCCTACAGCATCAAAGCACATGATTCACAAAGTTTCCCAAGTCAAATTTATAATTTGTATGTCCTTAGAGCTATGTGTCCTCTGCCATGTCAAAAAGGAAGTTGTAGCTTTGATGCCCCCATGTGGTTGCCTTGTTAGATGGTAATATTTCCTGTTAAAATCTTTGAAAATCCAATAGGTTTTTTTCTCATAAATTTCAGCCTACCACAAGTAGGCTTAAAGGCTTTAAAAGGTTTGATCTCTAGGAATTCATTACCTAGACGTACTCAATACTCCATAGGAAAGGAGGAAGCTTATTTTCGTTTTTTATTTCAATGCAAGTGGGTTTTATTTTTCCATTACTTCATTTGGACTCCTTCTGAAGTGGTTGGACAGAATCAGGGCTTTTTGTTATGGACTTGGTTTCATTGGGAAGTGCCAGGTTACCTACACATCCCTAGTTTGTAATCAATTCAAAGCTGATCATATTCCTTCATAATTGCAGGTAACAAAGGAGCTGAACACCAAATGTAAAGTGCTGGATGAGGTACAGCGGCAGCTGACGGAGACGGAGAAAGCGGGGAGTCTGAGTCGGGTCAAAGAGGAGCATCAGCGGATCGTCGGGGGGCTCAGGGCCCAGAATGAGAAGCAGGTTAAGGATCTCCTCACTGACCTGGAGGTGCTTAGACAGGACCTTGAGAAACATGTGAGTTCTTGTTTTTTTTTTATGTGGACCTTTAGGGACTAAGAGAGGTCCCTTCACCTGATGCTTGCAGTTATGGATGTTATTTGTAACAATGAAAATCAAAGTATGTATTTGGAATTTAATTATAAAATCAGATGTCTTATTCGCATGCATTAGTAGAGAAGAAGTCACAACATTATGTGTCAATGAATGTGGATCATTTCTTCTAAGTCTGGTACATTCCTTTGGAAAATCATTCCAGTCTGACCTTGAATAAGGAAATAAACTGTTCAAGATTAGTTGAGGGCCTAAAGTTCACCTGTAAAGCAAGCATTGGAATATATCCAAGTATCAGCCAGGAGGATTGAGGTGGTATAGATGATAGAAATAAATATTAAAAATTGCTTTTGTTGCTAAAAAATTACTACTACAAGTCTCAGGAACTCTGAGCATTGAAATAAAAGGAAATAGCATTCGTTTTCTTTTGCCTGCCCAGTTTCTTTTCCATTGATGTTCCTCCTGAAATTTAACAAAGTGTAGAACTTTCTCCACTTCTAGCATCTTATGTTATGATGTCCTTCAATTAGTGGTATCCTCAAAAGTCAGATTTCTTTCCTCAGGCATCAGAGAAGGCATCTATGCAGAAGCAAATGGCAGATGTTGTCAGGGGGTATGAGCAGAAGCTTGCTGAGAAAGGGGAGACAATCAACAGACTTTCACGGAACTTGGAGGAGAGCCAGCAACAAGTATGCCATTCATGATATCCTCTACCACATCACATTGCTTGCCACCATATTTATTCCTGCCCAGTCAATCAACATGTTGATTGTTATCCCTCAGAGATCACTTTTTGTAAAGTATTAATAGCTCCAATTAAGGACAAGTGGCAATGCACATTCAGAAAGCCATGTGCTTTCTGTAATTGTTTAAAATGAGGAAATTGTTTTTTTGTCATGCAGTGCACAGGGCTGCTGGACCATGGACGTGTGCAGGAACTGCAGACACTCAAATTCAATGTGAATCGCCTTACTCAGGAGAAGCAGGTTGCTGAACAGACCATCAAGGCCCTCAAGGTCATTCATTGTTCACATTCATCTCATTCAGTTGACACTATTCCTTGATTTGTGGTATATGCTTGACTGGCTCTTCATATTTCATGCAGAGTGAAATGGACAACTTGAAGACAGAGTTGTCAATGCAGATCTCAGCCATAAAGCTGGGTGTGACGGATGGAGGTGGTCCTTCGCTGAAGTCTCAACAGGGTGCACCTGAGATGACCGTTTTGCAGGAGGAGCTGCGAAGGAGCCTCAACATCAACCGAGTGCGGCGAAAGGAGGTGGAAACGCTAAAGGCCGAGCTCGAAATGAAGAACCAGGATCTCTCTAGCCTCCAGGCAAAGGTCAAGGACATCAGTGAGGAGAATCAGCTACTCAAGGTGAGATATAATGCTCTTGAGTAATTTTTAATTTTGCTGTGTCAGTCTGGCAGGGTAGTGCTTTCATGGGAAGATAAATTATTTTCTGCTGTTTTCATTTTGTCCTACCTAATACTCTTTTGAATCTATTCAAATGTAGGAGATTCTTCTAATGCGATATATACTGTCAACCTTGTCATGTGCTACAAGTGAATAGAGCTAAACTATACACTATGCCTATGCTGATTCAGTGATCTATTTTTTAGCTGTATCAAGTAAAAGTTATTCCTGATTCAGGTTTTTTCTCTTTCTTCCAGTAGCCTTCTGTTTCTGTCTTTCAATTTGTTTGTTCTGATGAAACCTGCAAAATGTTTTCGTGGAATTGACAAGGAAATGAAATTAATTGTCACCTATGTTTGAAATTTAGTCCAATGCTGTATCTCTCATGTCAGAAACTACTGTAATGCTGACTCTTGTCTCATTACATGCTTAAAATGACAAGGCCTAAGAATTGGAATGCTCATCCCACTTTCCAGATGGACTTGAAGCAGAAAACAAAGGATGTTACAACCCTGATTGAGAAGACAAAGCTAAGAGAGGGAGAGCAGCTGTTGAAAAAACAGCTTCAAGAGGTGGAAGAAGAGCTTGAGGCTGCATCTAAGCGGAGCCAGGCTGCCGAGCAGGAGTTGGGGCGCTTGAAGCAGCGGATGACCTCACTGCAGGAAGAGAAGGAGCAAGCAGTGCGTCGGATGCAAGAGAACCTGGAAGCGATCCACCAGGAGGCGCTGGAGCAGGTGCGGCAGCAGGCAGAGGTGAAGTGGCACGGAGAAGTTGGGCGTTTGCAGTCGCAGCTCAATGCAGTCAATAAATCTCTGGACGATGTGAAGTCGATGTATGTGAAAGCCTGTGAGGAGAAGACCCAGGCTGAGGAAGAGGGAAAGAAGCTCGCTGTTGCAGAGTTGGAGGCGCAATACAAGGCTGCATATGAACAACGCAATTCTGCAGTATGTGCCATTTTATTTTCTTCGCTAATGCTCTTGTTTTTCCAAGCAGAGCACCAAATGCAATCATGCTCTGTCTCCCATGGCAAAATATTTGATTGTGGATGTTCGCAAAGTACACACTCCTGCATAAAAGTTATTTGCTGAAAGTCACCCTCAACTGTATCTTGCTGCCAGAATTCAGATATCTTACTGTGGCAGTACTGACTTTCATGGTTTTATTTTTTAATTTCAATTGCATAATTTAGCAGAAAAAAAGAATCCATTCCATAGGTATTTTTATGCCTGACAGAAGCACAAAGATAGTAGTCAAAGGAAGTTACTAGGATTTTTCAGACACCATTTATAGGTCAGACATTCCAATTTGAAACACTGTCATATCCTCCAGAAGGACTATTAATAATAGACCCCACCAAGTTTTGTAATTGAGATTCATGGGAATTCAAATTTCAGATGGACAAATGAACTGTATTCTAGAAGATTAGTATTCCAGATGGTTTCAAAAGGTTCAGTCAGATGTCTATTGAAACATTATCAAACAACTCTGTTAATGGCGCTTTCTTACTTTTTACTTTTAACTCTGACATGCTCAGTGGGTTTTGTGTGATGATTTGAGAACTCATCCACATCAACCTGATCTCTGTTCCTAGTGTTCATGCAAGATTGAGGATGGATTGCATCCCAGATTTGAATAAGCAGGCAAAATTCTGGTTACATAGTAGACTGTTCTTCAGTGGTATGTGGGAAATTGATCATAGGCAGAGAAGCCAAGCCTGTGCTCAGCTGTTTATTCAGCATTGCATCCTGAAAGAGCCTTTCCTATCTTTGAGTTTTCCTGTTTTGCTTCATATTCTTCTTTCAGCAAAATAGCCAATTCATGTGCTTCTTTGACTCAGATCATGAAACGCCTGGCCGAGTTTGAGAGCAAGACGAAGGAGGAGCGGGACCGTCTGAAGAAGGACCTTGAGCGCCTCAACCGTGAGAATGAGGTCTTGCGAAAGAGGGAGGGAGAGTGGAAGGAGGGTATTGTCAAATACAAGCAAGAACTCGATGCAGAACTTCAAACCAACCATGACCTCCTTCACAAAGAGAAAGAGGAGCTCCAACATGGTGCATCTTCCTCACCTCTTGCCATTTTCCTCTCCTGGGTCAAACTGTTTAAGTTGTATGCTTTTCGATTTAGAGCGTGAGACGCTTGCAGAGAAGGTCACCCAGGCCATACAGGAGGAGAAGGCACGAGCTAGCAGAGAGTATCAACGACAAATGGTAAGTTCAAGCATGAGTCATGAACAATATCTGATGTGTTTAAGATTCTTTGCCTTACCTTAAGATTCTTTGCCTTACCTTGAGAGATGCCCAAAAGTATTTGGAGCCCAGTCTATCATAAGTACCTATGAATTTTATAAGATTGTTTTGAACATGATTAAATTTAAAACACTCATGGATAATCATGTGACCTTTTTGACTGAGGCAAATTTTCCTTTTCATGCCAAATATCCTTCACTTTGGAAATTATGTCAACCACTTTTGAGTCTATCTTTTTAGAAGGGTTTAAATTTCTCATGTTCATAGGTTGCTTTGATAAATTTGAGTTCAAAACCAACCACAAAGATTTGGTATCTATTCACTTGTGACTTGGCATGTAGAATATTTGTTGGCTTAAACAGTTGCCAGGATTTTCCTTCCAATTAGTAGATTTCATATAAAATACTTATTTTCTATTTGATTTCTCTTTTGCAGCTAGATCTGTTACCTTCTTTTCACATGAAAAAAGTAGTTAACCCATTGAAACCTAACAAGTCTAGCTTGGTCATTTATCCAGTTTTTCAGTGACCAGTACCATTTAAATGACCTAAGAGTTAAAACCACTGTGTTATTTATGGTACTTTAGCATGATTGCAATAATCTAGCAGACAGGCAACTGAAAGGGAGAATTTTCAGTCATGTGTTTGGGTAGGCATGCTGACTATCCACATTTCAAAGATCTAGATAGTTTCCACTTGTCTTATTTTTATCTTGAAGGAAATGCTAAAGAAGAGCCATGAAGATGAGATGCGTAGCCTGAGTCAGCATTTCCAGAAACAGCTGGCGACCATGCAGAATCCATCTGGAAACCAGGTGTCGATGTCCAGTGCCAAGCACAGGCGCCTCACTGAAACCGTAACCAAGATCGCTGAAGACTTCCAAGAGATGAAAGGGCGTCGCTCAGCCGAGGTGGACGAACTGAAATTGAAGTTAGAGTTCGAATGTAGAGATAAGGAGCGCCTCCAGCAGAAGCTCAAGAAGCTTGACTCCCACATCAAGTCTCTCGAGACTCATTACAAAGATGAATTAGACCGCATTGGGGCTGCATATAAGGCTGCCATTGAAAAACTACAGAAAAGGGAAGCACAAACAATTCACAAAGTGCAATCTATGACAAGCGTTCGAAACCATTCCGATCCACCCCTGTTGAGGACGCCGAGCAGCCGACTGGCCAAGGCGGCCCCATCGCAGTATGCAGAACTGTCCAAGACGGTCGCATCGCAGTATGCAGAACTGACCCAGGCAGGTGAACGACCTCCACACGCCAAGCCTCCCTCCATCGCTGGCGGCGCCAGCTGGTCCGGTGTCCCTGTCGTCCACTCACCGCCCCAGAAGGGCCCCGGCAAGGGGCAGGACGGTTTCCTCAAACTCCAGATGGACGCCATGAACAGCGTCCATCGTCTTCTCGACAAGTTCAGCAAACCTCCCAACTCGTGATCTCTAAGATAGTCATATTTCTGATATTCCCTTTTCTACTTTTGTATTTGATGGTTATGTCAACGTTTGTGTAACTTGCTACACTTTGCAGAAGAGTTCTCTTGCCGCAGTATCTTGGTCCGTTTGTGCATTGCCATCGAAGTCGAGTTCAATGTGGACCGCATGTACAGGACATTGGTGGCATTTTTTTAACATGATTATCTCATGTGAAACTTTTCAGATTATTTTTATCCTTTCACCCTCTTTTTTGATTGCCTGGATGGAAATGCATGGAACTCAAAGTCTCAGCACAACATGGAATAAAATAGGAAAAAAAAGTGTTGATATGTTTGATGGCAGTTGTCCACATGCACAAATAAATCCTGCTTGCTACCTGAACTCTGACATTGAGCATTCCAATTGCCTTCAACGTAAGCCACTTGTATCATCTCCCCATTTCATGAAGCTGCATTAAACGCCCGTGGGTTGCTGTTTTCTGTGAATCTAATCGAATTAAGCATTATTAGCCTTGCGAACCTCATTATCTTAGTAAATGGAGTAATGAGGTTCAAGGACAGCAGGGGCCCCATGCACTTGCAACCGCTCAGAGCCTGAGCGACAAGATCATCGGAATGAATAACCGTCAAAAAAAATATTTCAAGCATGGACAGCTCATAAAAGAGCTTGAAATAAAGAAAGAGAGATTAATATGCAAGCCAACGTCCCAAGAGCAAGCTTGAACCGCCAGCCTCGATGCAAACGCGGCGATTTTGGGAGTTCGAAGGCAGGGCGAATTAGACTTTCTGGTGGGGACGGCTCTCCAGCCAAAGAGCTTATCGAAAGTACTTGGTCGTACTTGGTACTGGAATGCGGGAACGATTCGAATCCCGCTATCATTACGTGAACATCTCACCGGCGAGAAAATTCATTTCTTGCGTAAATTCCATCAGTCACTTGGGCTTAGATCCAGCTAAGATTGAGATCTTCCTTCGATGAGATTGGGACTATTCCCTCATTCGGCGCTCGTCGAAAGTATTTCAAATGCTGATATTTTTCCCGAAAATTCCCACTTGACTCAAGACCTGACAGGAATTACCGCGAATCGAATTGCCGATCCGGCCGAAATCTTGCCCTCGCGGCACCCCCTCTTTCCAGTACGGAGGAAGTACTGCTACCCAGTACATGAACGCCGCACGCGAGTGCCTCGTGGGGATCCGAATCGCATCCTCGAAATCGGTGGGAAAGAAACGAGAATTGCGTGGAAAATCGGAAAATATGAGGATCTCCAATGGAGTAATTCGTTGCCGACAGTTCCCCATTACTGGAGATGGAGGCAGCCAGCTGCGCGGCCGGGAGGACGCAGCGCTCCAAGGCCGACGCTGATGAGGATGCCTGCTTCCTGGGAGCATTTCGCAGCACGGAGCTCAGAATTTCACGGAGGTCTGGACGGGGACGCGCACGTATTACCGTTCGAGTTCCCGATTTTCGAATTGCACTTTCGCTACGCCTTCCAGATCTGGAACGGAGAGATCCACGGATCCTTTCCGCAGACGGTTTTCACACCAAATCCAAATCTATGGGCATTTTCGTCTCGGTGATTCACAGCTTCGTTACAATCCGATGAGCTCATGAATCCCAGAACATCCAAATGTGTAACGCATTTCCCCCTTGTTTTCATCTACGGAGACTAAATTTCCTCAACCCTTTCGTCGCTGAAATAGAAGACCGGAAGAACCGGAAAACTCTCAAATTTTCTCTTCACAACCTTGCCTCCGATCCACTACGCTTGAATGACGACCAGTTTGAACCAACGACGCACCCACAAACAGCCATTGTCGAGAGCTCTTAATACAATTTCAAACCTGTATTTGGAATCTACATGGCAGCAACGCAAGAGCAGTCTTGAAAGATCCTTATTGTGCCGAGTGGAATTTTCGTTGCCGAGTCTCGCATTTGACCGAGTTTCGGAAGAGTTTCGGAGATATTTTGCCGCCGGTAAGTACATATGTTTTACAAGGTGTCACGCGTAACCCGTAAATTGATGGAATTCATGATGTTTTTTAGTTCGAGTGTTAGCTCGCCGTGTTGCAGCAATATAACGTCTGGCAGGCATTTTCACAGCATGTATTCATAATTTTTCATAATTCATAATTACCACGATCGTACTGGTATCATCTCTAATACCAGTATTTTTTTTATTAATTGTTTAGTAATTAATTTTTCGGTATTAATTTTTTTCGAAGGTAAGTGCACAGAAGAACAGAGACAACTCAAATTTATTTCAGTCAGTTTCGAAATTGCATCGCGAAATTCTGCGAAAAAAATCAACTTAGTTCTCGCGGCTGTTGCCGCTTGTTGCAAAAATCGCAATGGAGCGTCCGCAATTCTGCAGCCAAATCCATGCAAAAACCGTCCTGCTCGATGACGATAATGAAGATTCCATATTTTCAGAACCGAGTGAAGAATGGAGACAAACTGCAAAACGAAAAAAAAAACTTGGAATTTCCCGCTTTAGTAATTTGCGATGCTAATTACAAATTCGTTTTGTAATTAGCCAATGGAAGAATTTCTGACGGAGGAAACTGCGACAAATCGCAAAAAGGTATAGAGAAAATTGAAGAAATTGTTTGGACGAGAAGACGAGAATGGTAACGCTGAAGCCATTCCACAAGGAAGTCTCTCTGTCGACGACGACAATGAGCAGCTTAAGGAAGTTTCTCTGTCGACGACGACAATGAGCAGCTTAAAGTGTCCGCGAGGATTTTGCAAGGTTCTTCAGGAAATGCAATTTTTTTTAGCATGGTAATAAAGATGGCAATCGGGGAGAAATGTTTCTTTTATGAGCTAAAAAAAATATACTTACCACAGTTACCTTTCTTCTGCTTAGGTATTCAGCTTGAGAAATTAGTCGCAGCAACAATGCGCGACGAGAGAAATTGATAAACCGTACCATAATGATAACGACTGTGAACCAGATGCTTCATACTAAAACATAAAAATATTAAGTTCTTTTTTTTATATCTAAAAACATAAATGAGCCATTGCTCAAGAACTGTTCTTAAGAACGAGAAATGATAGCATTCGCCGATTTTAAACTCATTTCAAACTGCAAGAAAATAGAAATAAGACTCCCCAGTTTCGCAAGGTGTAAAAAAAAAAGAGTTCGCTGCTCATTCGCTGCTCGTCCCAGCCATTTGGCAGCGTTCCCGTGTGCGACAGGCGTGGTGCATCCTTGCAATTTCCATGTAATTTCAGTTATTACGAGAGATTGAGCAATGAGATGTGCAATGATAGAGCTGAAAGAAAAAAAGGCGAACGCGAATTCTGGCTTCCGCAGAGTTCCTGAATTGAATTGGCAGCTAGATGATTTTTAAGACAGGTTACACTGGCGTCCGCTCACCTCTGTCACATGACAACTCACATGACGACTCACATGACAACTCACATGACAACTCACATGACAACTCACATGACAACTCACATGACAACTCACATGACAACTCACATGACAACTCAATGACAACTCACATGACAACTCACATGACAACTCACATGACAACTCACATGAGTCGTGGTTGCCTGATGAGCGGCGGTGATGGCCGTGTTCCAAGGCCGTAAGCGTTCTGCTGCCACTGGCCCCGGCGCTAAGGTCGGTTTCAGGGATTGGCTCATGCCAATCGTCTTCAGCAGCCTCTACAGCTTTCTTAGATTGCTGCATGGCCCTGGTTTCTCCGATTGGACTTCATCCGATTTTTTTTTTCTCCCGTTGCGAAGGAAGCTCAAATTAATTGGCCATCCGCAGGATTCCAATTTTGAATGAATGGCAAAATTCATCGATGGCAGCTATAATGAAGTACTTTTGCAGGAGCACACTGCATTTGCGCTGAAAGCGAAAAGTTGCTTAAACTTACCCCATTAATGATAAGTGTAAAGATAAATGGTAAGTGATCTCTCTAGATCGAAAAAAAAGTGCAATTAAATTATGAAAATACGGCTGATATGAGCGGAACGGACATTTGCTTGAGAACGTAGACCATAGTGGAAGCAGACGTATTCATTTTTTGCTTGCGAACTAATCTCTCTCTATCGCGCATGAATTATCGCAGGAATGATCTCGAATCGCATGAATTGTCGCAGGAATTATCTCGAATCGCATGAAATATCGCAGGAATTATCTCGAATTGCATGAAATATCGCAGGAATTATCTCGAATCGCATGAATTATCGCAGGAATTATCTCGAATCGCATGAATTATCGCAGGAATTATCTCGAATCGCATGAATTATCGCAGGAATTATCTCGAATCGCATGAATTGCATGCATTTTCTCCTGATATGAGATTTCTTTCCGTGGTCGCGTTTAACTCTGGCTGCCAGTTGCGAAAAGAAAAGTCATTAATCGGAATCATGAAAGTCTCCAATTATCTGTACGTTAATGTCAATGTCAAGACGCGTTGCAGGTTCTCAGACCGTTCTTCGCCCTAGGATGGATTCCTGGGAATAATTAAGATTAATGTAGATTATTGAGGTCATGCAGTTCAGGTCTATCACTCTGATCTGTCGACGGTTTGCTGGGGCTTCTTGGGGCATCGCGTCTGATTCGGCAGGTTTGAATGCCCGCTTCGAATGCGTTCGTTCGGGTTCGTTGGGAATTTTCAATCGGGGGAAAAAAAAAAATTTGCATCAGAGAGCCACGCGATAATGAGAAGTTCTGCCGTTGAGCAATTTGGTTGCCGACAGACTCTCGGGCGATGGGAAATGCGCGTGCTGCACGTGGGAAGTTAAAGGGGCCATTTGCAACCGAGGCCATAAAAGCTGGATCCTGACATGCACGGAATGAAGAGCTGAAATTTCAGTGGTCACGTCAAACATGGGGATTCGCGTCTGTTCTGCCTTTCTCGTTCTCTTATGCTGCGCCTCTGTCCAGGTCTGTCTCTGCACGTTCTTCGTTTCGAAGGGGGAAAGTCAGGCCGAAAATGGAACCCTTGTTCCCTGCATCCTACAATTACTATTAAGTACTGGTTTTCCTGATATAGTATCAGGTTTTCATACCATCCTTCTACTTTTTATTATGCAATCCATGAATATATATATGGAAAACATGAAATTATAACATATATTTTTATATGACTCAGGGAATCATTAAATGCTGAGGTTAAGCTTGTTATTATAGCAGTGCACGGGATTAGGGAAGAGTAGAATCCCAGCCCTACAAGTACTACTACTATACTATACTACATCTTCTCTATCCTAAAAGGAAGAGGGCTCCTTTGAACATTTACTCCTCCTTCCAAGGTTCCGGTACGGGAGGAGGAAGCAGTAGGTCACTTTGGTACTCTTGAGTGCTGGTGAGGATGAGTACTCGTGTACTCGTCCAACCACCCTAGAGTTCTGAAGAACCTAAAGGAATAGGAGATTCGGTATATAAATTGACTCTTTGGTACTGAATAAATCGTACTGATTGACTCTTTAAATACGCATGAATGTCAGGGGAATATTAACATAAATCTTATGTAAAAGGAATGTAAACATGCTGTTCGGAATGCAAACGGGAATGTCAATTTCACGTAAAATTGACGTTAATTTTATGTCACCGTTTACATATCACAGAGGTGACATTTCTGCAAACATGTTGGCATTTTCTTGACAATGGTTTGCGTAAAAATGATATAAAATGGACAAAAAAGTTACATTAATTTTACGTAAAATTAACATAAACATGCTGTTTGGGTACTTGCCGGAAAAGGACTAAATCTTATAATTGTATTCGCTGAGTTACGGAAAAGACAGAGGATCTAGACGCCGGCTGAGAAAGTGGATTCGTCGAAGATCTGAAGGAGGATGGGAAAGATCACTCAAAGAACTTCGTCTTGAAGATTTGTCTTACCTAATGCAATTTCCTGCGAACGACGGCCACTCTTTGCCGAGACTGGTTGAACCTGCGATCCAGAAGCAGCGATGAGAGAAGGCAAGCTCTCTCACCCTGAGATATTTTGCCGCCGGTAAGTATAACATATGTTTTACGAGGTGTTACAGGTAACCACAGTAAATTGATGGAAACGTTGTTCTTTGAGTGGAAGCTCGCCGTATAGCAGCAATAACGTCTGGCAGGCATTTTGACAGCATGTATTCATAATTTTTCATAATTCATAATTACCACGATCATGCTGGTATCCTCTCTAATACCAGTATTTTTATTAATTTTTTAGTAATTAATTTTTCAGTATTAATTTTTTCGAAGGTGAAGAAGAACAGAGAACTCGCGGCTGCTGCCGTTTGTTGCAAAAATGACAATGGAGCGTCCGCAATTCTGCAGCCAAATCCATGCAAAAAACCGTCATGCTCACCATCGTCATCGACCGATTCCTGCAAAAAAAAAGGAAAAATGTTGATAATCAAGATTCCATATTGATTATCATCACCGAGGAAGAATGGAGACAAACTGCAAAACGATAAAAAAACTTGGAATTTCCCGCTTTAGTAATTTGCGATGCTAATTACAAATTCGTTTTGTAATTAGCCAATGACGGAGGAAACTGCAACAAATATTCTGTTGCAAGAGGACAATGGTATGGACAAAAGTTATCGAGAAAAATTGAAGAAATTGTTTGGACGAGAAGAAGAAAATGGTAACGCCAATTCCCCAAGGAAGTTTCTTTGTCGACGACGACAATGAGCAGCTTAAAGTGTCCGCGAGGATTTTGCAAGATGCTTCAGGAAATGAATTCCTTTTTGGAAATGAATGTTTGTTTCATTTTTTAGCATGGTAATAAAGATGGCAATCGGTGATAAATGTTTCTTTTATGAGCTAAAAAATATATACTTACCACAGTTACCTCAGACTTTCTTCTGCTTAGGTATACAGCTTGAGAAATCAGTCGCAGCAACAATGCGCGACGAGAGAAATTGATAAACCATAAAGATAACGGCTGTGAACCAGATGCTTCATACTAAAGCATAAAAATAATATTAAGTTTGTTTTTTGATATCTAAAAACATAAATGAGCCATTGCTCAAGAACTGTTCTTAAGAACGAGAAATGACAGCATTCGCCGATTTTAAACTCATTTCAAACTGCAAGAAAATAGAAATAAGACTCCCCCGTTTCGCAAGGTGTAAAAAAAAAAGAGTTCGCTGCTCATTCGCTGCTCGTCCCAGCCATTTGGCAGCATTCTCGTGTGCGACAAGCGTGGTGCATCCTTGCAATTTCCATATAATTTCAATTATTACGAGAGATTGAGCAATGAGATATGCAATGATAGACCTGAAAGAAAAAAAGGAACGCGAATTCTGGCTTCCGCGCCGCGTTTGCAGAGTCCCTGAATTGAATTGGCAGCTAGATGATTTTTAAGACAGGTTACACTGGCGTCCGCTCACCTCCGTCACATGACAATTCACATGACAACTCACATGACAACTCACATGAGTAGGCGTCAAAGTCGCGGTTGTGTTCCAAGGCCGTAAGCGTCCTACTGCCACTGTGCCCCGGCACTAAAGTCGGTTCCAGGGATTGGCTCATGCCAATTGTCTTCAGCAGCCTCTCCAGCTTTCTTAGATTGCTGCATGGCCCTGGTTACTCCGTTTGGACTTCATCCGATTTTTTTTCTCTCCCGTTGCGAAGGAAGCTCAAATTAATTTGCCATCCGCAGGGAAGAACCCACGTAAGGTCGTTTTTAGTGTGAAAAAAAATCCTGTTTCCAATTTTGAATGAATGGCCAAATCCATCTATGGCAGCTATAATGAATTACTTTTGCAGGAGCACACTGCATTTGCGTTGAAAGCGAAAAGTTGGTCAAACTTACCCCATTATGGAGGTAAGTGATCTCTCTAGATCGAAAAAAAGTGCAATTAAATTTTGAAAATACGGCTGATATGAGCGGAACGGATATTTGCTTGAGAACATAGACCATAATGGAAGCAGACGTATTCATTTTTTGCTTGCGAACTAACCTCTCTCTATGGCGCATTAATTATGGCATGAATTATCTCTAATCGCATGAATCACCTCTAATCGCATGAATTACCTCTAATCGCATGAACTATCTCTAATCGCATGAATTATCTCTAATCGCATGAATTACCTCTAATCGCATGAACTATCTCTAATCGCATGAATTACCTCTAATCGCATGAATTACCTCTAATCGCATGAATTACCTCTAATCGCATGAACTATCTCTAATCGCATGAATTATCTCTAATCGCATGAATTACCTCTAATCGCATGAATTACCTCTAATCGCATGAACTATCTCTAATCGCATGAATTATCTCTAATCGCATGAATTATCTCTAATCGCATGAATTGCATGCATTTTCTCCTGATATCAGATTTCTTTCCGTGATCGCGTTTAACTCTTGCAGCCAGTTGCGAAAAGAAAAGTCATTAATCGGAATCATAAAAGTCTCCAATTCGTTGACTGGAATAGGAACGCGAAACTGACGCGTTGCAGGTTCTCAGACCGTTCTTCGCTCTACGATGGATTCCCGGGGATAATTGAGATTAATGTAGATTATTCAGGTCGTGCAGTTCAGGTCTATCACTCCAGGGCTGATCTGTGGATGGTTTGCTGGGGCTTCTCGGAGCATCGCGTCTGACTCGGCAGGTTTGATTGCCCACTTCGAATGCGTTCGTTTACGGGTTCATTGGGGATTTTCAATCGGGGAAAAAAAAATTATTTTGCACCAGAGAGCCACGTGATGATGAGAAGTTCTGCCGTTGAGCAATTTGTTGCCGACAGAGTCTCGGGCAATGGGAAATGCGCGTGCTGCACGTGGGAAATTAAAGGGACCGTTTGCGCGTGGGGGTCGACGTGGGGAGTCGAATTTACAAGGGCAAACGAGGCCATAAAAGCTGGATCCTGACAACATGTATGGAATGAAGAGCTGGAATTTCAGTGGTCACGTCAAACATGGGGATTCGCGTCTGTTCTGCCTTTCTCGTTCTCTTATGCTGCGCCTCTGTCCAGGTCTGTCTCTGCACGTTCTTCGTTTCGAAGGGGGAAAGTCAGGCCGAAACGTGATTATTTCTCTTGTACTTGGACAGAGCTCGGCGGGGAGTGGAAGCGAGGATGCTGGGTCGGGGTCGTTTCCTGTCGGTGTGCCTGGTAGTGCCTGCACTCGCGTCGGTCGCTTCCATCAGGTATCGCATGATTATCCAGTGCTGAAGGAGAATTGCTGTTGCAGAGAAGCGCCAGAAACCTCCGTGTGGAAGGAGAGTCCAGCTCCAGCCGGGCCAGTGTCAGCCTCTCGTCAGCATGAACTATCCGGACAACTACCCGTCTTGGCACAGCTGCAACTGGATGTTCACCGTGAGTTCCCTTCCTTCGGTTTCATCGAATGCCACTGTGACTGCTGTAAGGTTCCCCGACAGTGCTCCTCCGACCTGATGCTCCAATGCGCCGACTTTCAACTGCCCGATACCCCGCTGTGCTGGCAGTCGGCCTTCCTCTACGGTGACAAAAGGTGGGCGAAGGGCTCCATGGCTCGCGTTCTGATGCCGAAGGAGGCACGCATCCCATGGTGAAATTTCCGATTTTTCAGGGCGTGTGGAACATCAAATCCCTTCAAAAACCCGGTGAACATGGGGAAGAGTTTCACGGCGATCCTCTATGCTTCTCTTGCGAGTGGACCTGGATTCGATTGTACCGTCACATGCGGTCAGCGAATTATCGTCTTTCGTCGTTTTACTTGGCTTACCTTGGTTACACCCAACCACGTCCTGTGGGGGAAATGTCCCATGGGTTAATAGTGGGGGGCGTCTTCGTTGCAACATGGGTCCAACTCACATAAGCCTAAAGTCTATTATGACTAACAAGGGAGTTATCCCGCGAGTAGACGGTGTTCCGATGCCGTCACCTTTTTGTTAGGTTATTGCCGTAATTCCAGACGCTAATACCTTCGTATATATTCTCTTTACAGACATGAATGAAAACAAAAGGCGAAGCAAAATTATGTTTGCCGTGTCTATGCGTCTATATCTCCCTCAATCTATCTAATGGCGTTACCAATTGATACTCTTCGAATTGAACGTTAAGTTGTAATTCATGACCGAAGAAGGCCAAAGCGCGCATGAGTTATCCCTTCGGACCAAGAAATTCGATAATTATACAGGGCCAATTTTAAGTAAGCACCTTATTTTGGTCAACCCTAACTTCTGAGAGGATCGTCGGATTCAGCTGAAACTCCAGAGTTTCACGAATCTAGGAGGATTTCCCCGCCACTGCAGAATGGCGCTGCGTGTCGATAGAGGGCGCTGCAGTTTTCAGGAGGGGAGAAAAAGGTCATTAAAGGGCCATGAGCTTCTCTGCCGAACGGAAGATGCGGTCGAGCAAAGTTGGATTGTTGCTTTTAACCACGGGATTTTGTTCGGTAACGACTTTTCCAGGGAATTGTAAGATGCAGTTTGAAGAAATCGAGCATTCTCACTACTTCAGGCGAGATAGTGAAGCTTTCGGCGCATCAGCTTCTCACATTGAACGGTTTTTGATTCAAATTGATCAAAATGGAAACTTCGTAGACAGAATCATCCGTGGTTCTTTACGGTTCCCATTCGCGTGTGCGACTGCAGCGCCCATGTCGATGTGTACGTGGGGAAGCAGGGAACTAAAAAGTTTTGGGACTGTATGAATATCTCAGTCAAGCGTCAGCTGCATCAGAAGATTCCTTATGAAGCTACGACCAAACTAAATCGGATTGCTACGATTCAACGTCAAATTTCGTCGGACAAAAGCTTTTGAATTAATTTTATCACAAGGAACCTCGAGGTTTTTGCGATGAGATTCGGCGGGTAACGAATTCCCTGCGAGAGCGGAAACAACGGAACGCGCAGAAAGTTTGCATTAGGCTTTCTGCTCGATCGGTTTGGCGGCTCCCGGTCAGGATTGGCGGGACATTTTTACGTAGTTTTCATGGATAGAATGGCTTGGAAGAATCGGGGCGAATAATAATGAGAGTCTGATTCCCTTCGTTATTTCTTTAAAAAAAAAAAAGCCATGAAAACAATCTTCTGGGAGAAGGGCATGAGGACTTCGAAAAGTGCAAATGGGAGAGTGGGATATGCCGAATAACAGGGATTTCTCTATTGTTTTCCAGCTCAAGGCTCAACCCCTTCTTGCAGTGAGTGTTGAGGCATTCAATCATCATGCGACATTATTGCTGAAAGTATAGCTTTCTCATGCCGAGTCTGATTACCAGAGTGCGGAATCCCCACGAGCCCCCCGCCGGGCGGCAAGAGATCCGTCGATCTCCGGAAAAACGCGACCGATCCCAACCTGGATCGGATCTGGGGGGGACTCCCCGTTCCCTACGAGGGGAAGTATCCCTGGATGGCGCACTTCCAGGATAAAGGAGAATTCTGTGGGGGTTCACTCATCAATGATCGATACGTCCTCACTGCTGCTCAATGCGTCGATCAGAGGTCTGGATTCTTCCTTTTCTTGCACTCTCTTCTCCCTTCACTGGAATAATCACATCTCTTCTCCCTGTGGAAATACGATCGGTCGATGACCATTGATGACCGTTTCATCCATTATTCGAAATACTTAGCCCATCGGACACTTTCTACGTGACCCTTGGGGATTTGGACTGGTCGTCCCAAAGCGAAAGTCAATCCCTTCGGCTGCCGGCACGGGCCATCATCCACCCTCAGTACGACTCGGTTTCCAAAGTGAATGACGTCGCTCTGCTGAAGCTCAACTCTTCGGTGGACTTCCAGGCTTTCCCTCGCATCCGTCCCATCTGCATATCCGCCAATGCCTTGCCCATTCCGGGACAAACGGGCAGGATCGCGGGATGGGGATACGATGGCGGACGTGAGTCGAGACGCGTGCGTGTGGGAGTTGAAACGGGCGGGGAATTTTTATTGCTGGTGAAGGAAGCATTAATTCTGCGAAATTGTTCGAGGCACTTTGGTGTCCTTTGAGAAATGCGAGAACCCCTTACCTACATCTAGTGGCCTAAAAGAAGACTACAAACGGAACTCTATAGGTCCTGAAGGTTCTAAAGGGAGACCCAAATGGAACCCTGTGGGGCCTATAGTGTTCTCTATAGCACCTATAGGGAACCTATAGGATTCCAATATAATCCTAAAGGAATCCTATATGGCATTTTCGTAAGGGCCCATTTCTAGCATCTCATTCGATAACTATTGCAATTTTCTGGACTGCTCTAACTGCACGACAAGACGATCGTGTCATCATGTCGTGCCTTCCCGAAGGAGAGCTCATCGCTTTCGCAGGGATTCCTCAAAAGATGGATTGAAAAAAGCAGTGGAACAGATGAACCAAGTTCCTTTTTTTCGCGTCTCTCTCCAGTCCGCTTCCTGTATACGCACTATCATATCCTGAACTTTCTTTCTCGTCTGAGAGTTAATTACTCCCAACCGTTAAGAATGCCAATACGAGGATTCGTCAAGAATGGTAACTTCATTGGAGAAATCACAAATGGGAATCTCAACGACAACACTCTCTCTGACGAGTGTTTTTTATTCCGATGAGCTAGTTTCAGAAAATACGTTTTGTAGTCTTTCTAATTTTTTTTTATTCAATGGTACGGGATCAGAATTTCTCTTTGCTGCTGGTTTGGTGCGAGTGCTTTCCTCTTGAAAGTAAAGGACGAATTTCGTGGCGAGATTGCTTTGGAGTTATCAGAACCTTGATCCCCTCCTCTTGCATGGACTCTGTCTGCGATTTCCTAGCGGGGATCAGCACGGTGATGAAAGAGTCGACGGCGACCATCATGACGGAGGCGAATTGCAAGAACTATCAGGGCACCCTCGTCAACGGCAACAACTTCTGTGCTAATGCAGCAGGAAGGAACTTCTGTAACGTGAGTCTTCCAACCTATCGGAAAAGAAAATGGAGGAAAATTGCAGAAAGAGTTCACTTTCGCCGGCTTCATTCAGGGCGACGTCGGCGGACCGTTCATGTTCGAAACCGAGGCTGGCTACTACCAACAACTCGGGATCATTTCCTCGCCCACCAAGGATTGCTATAGCGGCTTTGGAGGAGTCTACATTAAGACGGCGAGTGAGTGGATGCAAAACCGGGTATACCCATATGCCTCCGAGCCGATTCTCACGGATTTACTTCCCATTCTAGGTTACGTGAACGGGTTCATCAAGCCCAACACCCAGGATGCCGTTTGGTGCGTCACCCCCGACAGCTGAGTCTATTCTTGGAATTCATTTCTAAGAAGCATGAGAGATAAAACGTTCTTTAACGCCAATAACGATTATCCTTTTTTCTTCAAATGTTTTTTTTATGAATAGTTTTTTTTCCTCAACATTAATCCACTCACTTTCCAGATAGATGTCTCACACAGTAACTTAAGATTTACAATCACTTAAGCTTTATTTGCAAGGAACGGTGTTCGAGGAGGACAAGCAGAAAAACTCCGATTCTCTGATTCTTTCCTCGATTTCCTATAACGAACAAGGGCGAAACTATTAAAAAAATTTCCTTAAAAGTATATAAAAAAAACATGAATATATTACTCTTCAATCTAAGGATTAAAAAAAAAAGAAATATTCGTGAAACGTACCTTTCATTCGTCTTTAAGAAAGATATATTGCATGCTCGGAAAAGTAAAAAAAAAAGTGTGAGGTAATGCAAATGGACCAGCGGTGGCTAGTTAAGGAACCAATATTTCTTTTTAAATTGTCGTGCACATGCATGTTCAGCATCATTAAAGGAAAAGGAGACAGGAGTTCAAGAAAAGGCATCGAGGAATAATATGCGGCATCGACGTTTCAACGTGGCATCTATTCCAAGCGACCCCTGCTCTGTATTGGAACATTTAAAACATCGACCAGGAAAATCATCTTTGGTTTTCCCACATTAGCCAAAGGAATATGGCCGAAAATAGACAGATATGGGGATTGATGATTCGAACCGTTTCCTTCAGATACTCATACAGTAAAAAAAAACTTCTGGGAAATCTGACGACCTCGCTGGCATATCACAGGACCCTTTGCGCCTGACCCGGGGTGTTTTCCTCAGAGTAAAAATTTGTACTTTTTTATGTTAGAACAGATCCTTTTCTAAGTCTGATAATCGCGACATGTCTAAATTTAGCATGTTTCCTTTCTCGGCTCAGTCTTTTCCCGAGTCATGCCTGCTCATCTGGAAGACAGCGCATATGCTGCCATATAATGTCCATTGCACTTGAAGTCTTCCATTACACATTAAGTCTTCCATTACGCGCGAAGGTCGAGAGCTTCGTGTGGGGTTTGGCGATGATGGTCAACTCAGATTCAAACGTCCCGTGACATTTTTGAAGCGATTTTCGAATGCATCCGAATGCATCGCGAAAATTTCAGCTGATTTCAATGAATTCCTGAGACATGAAATTGGACGTTGACTTCTGCTGATTGTCTCGCATCCTATTTTTCCCATATGGACTCCGAAGCGAGGGACTGGGAGCAGGGCGAATCGTTCTCGCCTGTGGAACGTGGACGATGGCTTGGACGATTGCGCGTGTGAGCCTGGCTTGCTAGACTGGCTAATAAGCTCCGGTCATAACTGGCTTTTTGAGACTACATAGGACGTATACGTGGGAAACATACGTTGCACTTTTTTTAAAGGGTAAGCGAGGGGAGGGGGGAAGAATGAAGCGGCCATATGACGGTTGGCAGGGAGTCGTTGGGAACCCAGGCGTTTTGTGCAGGTAGAAACGGAAGTGGGTGTGCATCTGCTGTCTGATGTGTATCTACAGCAGAGGGGGAGAGGCAAGGTCGAGACGTCTGGCTTCAAGCGACTGGAGGGGTATAAAAGGAAGTTGGGCTTTCCCATTTTTGTTCAGTCCTCCATTCGCATACGTCGATGGTCCTCTGCCTCTTCTAGTCAGCGAGCTCCAGCATGTAAGTCTCACCAATTCTGATGTCTTCGGGATTTTTCCCCTATTGACATTTCTTTCCTGCGTCTTTCAGCTGGTGAAATGACTATGGAGTGAATATATTTTGATTTTCGGATCTTTCATAATTTAATTCACCCATCTCTTATAGGTGCTTGAAGGTGGCGATTCTGTAATAGCTTCAACATAATCAAAATCTGCATCTTCATCTCTGGATCATCGAAGGTTCTGACTCATGGTATTTGCCATGGTTCATCCATCCATCCAATCCATCCGTCCAATCCATCTTGGAGCATCGCGCCTGATTCGGCGGGTTTGAATGCCCCCTTCAAATGTGTTCGTTCGGCCTTTCGAATTTCACGGAGGTCTGGACGGGGACGCGCACGTATTACTAGCCGTTCGAGTTCCTGATTTTCGAATGGCGTTCCAGATCTGGAACGACGAGCTACATCCACGGATCCTACCCCAGACGGGTTTCAAACGAAATCCAAATCTATGGGCATTGTCGTCTCCGGGATACGCAGCTTGGTTACGATCCGATGAGCTCAAAAATCCCAGAATATCCAAATGTGTAACGCATTTCCCCCTTGTTTTCATCTACGGAAACTAAATTTCCCCGAGCCTTTCGTGGCTGAATTAGAAGACGAATAACTGGAAAATGTTCTCAAATTTTCTCTTCACAACCTTGCCTCCGATCCAATATACTTGAATGACAGCCTGCTTGAACAAACGATGTATCCACAAATAGGCATCGTCGAGAGCTATTAAACAATGCAATTTCAAACCTGTATTTCAAAAATACGTGGTAGTAACTCAAGAGCAGTCTTGAAAGATATTATCCTTATGATGATCATGCGTCGTGAAAGGGTTAAGAAGGGGTTTCACCATAGGAATGAATGTTTCAGTTTGCCTACTGGACTAACGTTCTCGATTCCTTTTTCTGATATTCATCATTCCATTGTCTGATTTTAGTTCATAATGATCGCATGTAGACGTTGCAACCCTTGACTGCGACTAGAGTTCCTTTGTCCCCTTCTCCCGTCATTCAAAATCCCCAACAACATATAATGCTTCCTTTCTGTCCGTCTCTCCTGGCAAAGAACCCGATATGCATGGTTGCATTATACTCCTATGACGAAGGAGACACGTCACTTGCTCTCCTGAGAGAATATCGGGCTGGAAACCCAAAGCGAGATGTGGATGTGAGACGATCGTCCAGAAACCCTTCTCGGGCAGAACGTGCATTTCTGTCGACGGAGAGACCCTTGCTGCCCACGCAAGACGATCGAAATCCACCTTGGGGCATACTGTACCTTGAATTTCAGCTGCTTCGCTTCGCCGATAGGAGCTTCCCTTCCTGGATGACGACTTGAACGAATCACGCGCTGAACCGAAGCCCACGCGACCATCAAGTCCTTCCTGATTGGGGAACGGCTGGAGGAGCCGCTCCACGTCTTAAGGCCTAATTACACGAGGCGTGCATCCTTCTTTCTCGCCAGCAGTTTTGGAGAAACTGGCTGCGAAAATGGAGGTTGACGAAGAACTTGACGAAGCTCTGTCGATTTTACCCAAGCAGCATGTTCACGTAAACAAGATATCAATTTTTTGCAAACAATGTAAATTTCTTGCGATTGCCATGAAAATGACATCACGTTTACGTCAAATTTAAAACATCGACGAGGAAAATCATCTTTGGTTTTCCCACATTAGCCAAAGGAATATGGCCGAAAATAGACAGATATGGGGATTGATGATTCGAACCGTTTCCTTCAGATACTCATACAGTAAAAAAAAAACTTCTGGGAAATCTGACGACCTCGCTGGCATATCACAGGACCCTTTGCGCCTGACCCGGGGTGTATTCCTCAGAGTATTGCGGGCCTCGCGGGAGTATTGTTGGCGGAATAGATGATGCCCCATTTGGGCAGAAGTCATGCCAGATATCCCCGTGGAATGAATTCCTCCTGGGAATAGTTTCGACGACGAGTTAATGCAATGGGGGGGGGGGGTGGCATCGTTCTGATCATGCGAGATCTGTGCTGGAGATTGCATGGGTTTAGTAATAAAGACGAATTTTCAATGCATGTATGGTTGATTGTTGGCATTGAAGGGGAATTTCGTGCGAAATGGGCACAATAACATTGTTGAAGGAAAATGGGTCGCAACACAACTTTCCCACAATAAGTTCTTCCTATTTGCGCCATTTTTTTCCGAAGGTGAGCATCTTCATTTCCTCGCTCTCGCCACTCCTCACTCGCTGACATTGAAGATCGTTCTCAGTGACCCTGCCTGGCGGGTAGGATGGGCTGTGCGAGATTTTTCAAGAAACAGGGACGAACGCGCTTGTTTTGTGCAACGCACGAATTCTGGGAGTGTAACCTTGGTTTTCTATGTTCTTTTAAAAAATTTGTACTTTTTTATGTTAGAACAGATCCTTTTTTAAGTCTGATGATCGCGACAACATGTCTAAATTTAGCATGTTTCCTTTCTCGGCTCAGTCTTTTCCCGAGTCATGGCTGCTCATCTGGAAGACAGCGCATATGCTGCCATGTACCATGTCCATTATACTTGAAGTCTTCCATTACACATTAAGTCTTCCATTACGCGCTAAGGTCGAGACCTTCTTGTGGGGTTTGGCGATGAGGGTCAACTCAGATTCAACCGTCCCGTGAAATTTTTGAAGCGATTTTCGAATGCGTTCGAATACATCACGAAAATTTCAATGAATTCCTGAGACACGAAATTGGACGTTGACTTCTGCTGATTGTCTCGCATCTTATTTTTCTCATATGGACTCCGAAGCGAGGGACTGAGATCAGGGCGAATCGTTCTCGTCTGTGGAACGTGGACGATGGCGTGGACGATGACGCGTGTGAGCCTGGCTTGTTAGACTGGCTAATTAGCTCCGTTCCTAACTGGCTTTTTGAGACTACATAGGACGTATACGTGGGAAGCATACGTTGCACTTTTTTTTTAAAGGGTAAGCGGGGGGAGGGGGGGAGAATGAAGCGGCCATATGACGGTTGGCAGGGATTCGTTGGGAACCCAGGCGTTTTGTGTAGGTAGAAACGGAAGTGGGTGTGTATCTGCTGTCTGATGTGTATCTACTGTACAGCAGAGGGGGAGAGGCAAGGTCGAGTCGTCTGGCTCCAGGCGACTGGAGGGGTATAAAAGGAAGTTGGGCTTTCCCATTTTTGTTCAGTCCTTCATTCGCAGCCGTCGATGGTCCTCTGCCTCTTCTAGTCAGCGAGCTCCAGCATGTAAGTCTCACCAATTCTGATGTCTTCGGGATTCATCCCCTATTGACATTTCTTTCCTGTGTCTTTCAGTTGGTGAAATGACTATGGAGTGGATGCATTTTGATTTTCGGATCTTTCATAATTTAATTCACCCATCTCTTATAGGTGCTTGAAGGTGGCGATTCTGTAATAGCTTCAACATAATCAAAATCTGCATCCTCATCTCTGGATCATCGAAGGTTCTGACCCTGTCCCAACCACCACCTCTGGATAGTTGATGAGAGTCGGATGCGCCATTGTTTCCGGATCTCAGGAACCTTCTTCGAATCTCGTTTAATATTAAATTACAGCCGTTTCTTCGAGATGGGCCACCCTTACACCTGGACGACAGCTTCGAGCAGCAGCTTCTACTTTGGATATCTTTTGTTCAATTTGCTTTTATTGTCAAGGAAACAGGCTTGAAAACGGTTATAGGAACGATACCGTGATCAAAACCTTTATGGCATATTGGTGTGAAAGGAATTAGTCGATTTCGCTTTCTTTTTTGATTTAGTATCTGCGACTGGGATGTGAACTGAACTACGCAGACCTGTAAGAGAACATCGAGTCAGATAAGGAAGTTCTTTGTACCGTTCCATGCACTGCCCAGGGTCTGCCCAGGTTTTATCGACGCGGCAGAGTCATCTGGGACACTGCGCATTACATGACTCTCTATTTCCCTCTGATCTGATCCATCCAATGCTGAACCCTGAGGGTGTCACCAAAACAATGTACAAGTTGTTTTGGTATGGGTTAACTCGTGCACTCTTCCAAATTCAATACACTTCCGCACTGTATTCGGGGATTACGACTATATCACAATTATGTTCCAAGACTCGTATTGAATATCAAGGTACTTTCGAAAATACCACTCAAGGAGTATGAGCTCCTTTATGGCATGCGCTATATTAATCTGCCTCGATCATGAAGATATTACATAGTCACTTAGATTCTTTTCATGCGGTTTTATGCATTCGGTGTGATAGTGAGCTCTGTAGTGAGGAAAGATTCCAGGAAAAGAAGAAAGAGTACTTTTTTTTGGGTCGTCCCATCTGTCCGATATTGGATCGATGATAGTGGTAGTATTGGCGACGTAATATTGCCAATAGCCGATAATGACTATCGGACTAGGAACAGCCGACGTACCCAATGTTGATTGAGCTTTAGGCCTTTATGGTGCTACTGGGGGTAAATGGTGAGAAAAGCCATGAAGGGAACTCGATGGTCGATGATGAGCAACAAGGCAGCAAGCCAGCCCAATGCGATGAATGGGAATCCCCGAAATATCAGTCGGGCTTGCGTGTCGCAATGCCAGCAGGTGCTGATCGGCAGTGCTTCTACGTTCAGCATGCCCAAGTTGCTAGAGGAAAATGCACTTTTTTCGATGAGGAATTGCAATACCATTTCGCTCTTCGCGCAAGCTACATCGGCACAGAAAATCAGATAACCGAAAATAGGGGAAGAAATTCTCGATTTTCATGGGATGCAAGCAAATTCCCGTTTTCATCTTCTTTTCCTTCGTCCTCTACCTTTCCAGATATTTCTAATGGGTACGACTCGTTACCGTGAAATGATGTGATTTACCATGAACATTTACCAGTAGAGGCGGAATGAACGCTTTTGTTGATCGATTCTGTTTTTCCTTGGAAACTCCAAATCCTTTACAGTAGCGTTGCCAATCGTCTCTGAATACAGACAGCTTCCTTATATCCATTAAAGCTAAAAATTAGCTTGAGTCGCGTCCCCTGTGACATTTAAGCCTCGCGCTTCCGGGCTTTACAAGGTAGTGACGATCTGGAAATCTAGTGTCACTGTCCAGTGTCAAACACAAGCGCCACACTGAGCCCGTGGCCAAGATTGCCAGGGACTTCCAGGAGATGAAGGGGTGCCGCTCGTCTGAGGTGGACGAGTTGAGACTGGAATGAGAGTGGAAACGACGAGATGAGAAGCGCCTGCAGCAGAAGCCCAAGCAGCTCCACGCCCACGACCCTAGAAAATCAGTTCGACGAATTTGTTCGCATTGGGGCTGCATACAAGACATCGGAAGACTGCAGAAAAAGGAAACGCATACCAACCACCAAGCGCAGCCTCTAACGAGCATTCGAATCCGCCCTTACGAAAATGTCTTATACGATTCCATTGTACCACGTATTCCTTTAGGAATATGTAGGTATGTAGGAACATAAAGAAATCCTATAGGTTCCCTATAGGGTTCCATAGGGCCTGTAACAGTGGTATTCAAAGTGCGGGCTACATAAGGCCTACTTCATGGTTTTATGCGGCCCACTATGACTTGCTTATAATTGACTTCTTCACACTTGACTGTTTTATTGGCACTGATGAGTAATAGCGATTAACAAATCTTTCATTTCAGATTTTGAAACCTTCGCTGAAAACTAACAAATTCAACCGTTGCTTAGATATTCAGGTACATATCATTCCTGTTTACATTTAGTTGCTTATATATTTTGGTGTGCTAAAATGCCTACTAAATGCCTAAAGCTCGGAACCTCCATATACTGCTGAGAAAAAATATATTTCCCCGCAAGTGAATGAAGGCAATGAAGGTGCTCCTACCATGGGAAAACCCCTAGTCGGTAATTTATTTGTAATAAAATGCTGCGCCAATATTAAACTTGGTTGCCATTCCCGTTATAATGCCAGGGTTTTGAAGCCCAAAAAGTCCTCCCCGACTCCGGTCAGGAGTCTTATAAGACCCAATAGGGATCCTATAGGATCCTATTGGTTTTTCGTGTTTCAACAACCAATAAGAAAGCCTATAAGTTTCATTCTGATTTAGACAATGGGAATGGTCCCCATTGTCCCGGTCGTATATTTTGAAACCTTACTCGTGTTCGAACACTGGGACGGAACAGCCAATCAAACGCTCGCCAAATGTCATTACAGGAAAATGGCGACTTCCATGTTGATACAGGTTCCAGCGCCACCTGAAAAGCAGGGAGTTAATGTTTTTGAGTAGCTCTTGGTTGAACTTGCGTTTCCACACTGTACATCACCAGAGCAAGGTAGACCAATCTTATCGTGTTGCCAACAAGATAAATTTGTGAATAGGTCCAACATTAGGTGTAAGTTTGCATGAATTTTGCCATCAAAAGGAGTGTTAATCATTTCGGAATCGGCAAAATTTACGGACTTATGTTTCAGATCTACAGCGTTGGATCCTTTCATATTTGCAGCATAGCCTATTTAATATCCTAAACTTTCCAAGGTGTCCCTTTGCAGAATGATAGAAGGAAACTTCAGGGACAATGATGATGGAAAATTCCTATGGGAATAGAACTGGATGCATAAAATAAAACCCCACCAAGTGAATTTTATTAATTAACCAAGAATGAATAGAAATAGGCAGGAAGAAATGTCAATGCTGAATGCAAAACATGTCTGAGGAAGAACATGCCTTTTGTGACCAAGAAACATGATGTGGAGCTTCAGATTGCATATATATTTTAAAACAGTGCGGGGAAGACACCCAATGCAGAGAATGCATGGATGCATAAGGTTATCCATTCATTTCTGCACCATATGACTCGCGTAAGACACATATTTAGCCACACAAGCCACAAGGGATCATTTCTTCTTCGAACTTCCATCAACAATTTCATGAGTGGTTTTCCTTTTCCCAATCCTCCTTTGGATGAATGAGAGATATTTGAATTTCATTCCCATATTTGCCCTGGTTACAGAAAGTAAAAAAAAATTGGCAAGACAATGCATTCCATACATGAAAAAACTCTAAAAAGCAGCTAAATAGCTGGATTCACCCTCTTAAAAGGGTTTATAATCAACTTAAGTATCTGCCATCTAATTAAACTTCAGGATAGTTTGATTTGATTTAGGGCTAGGGTTAAGGGGAGAAGGTGATGGCACTTGGTTGCGATTGGAACCTTAAGGAAAAAATATGAAGAGATGTGATAAAGTACTAACCCAGGGACATTGGCAAGAAGCACCTTCATGCTCTTTTTTGCAGCACTTATTGGAAGTCAAAGAAAAAGAAAACGTTAAGGCAAGCAACTCCAACATATAGTTATGCCAGAACATGGTGATTTATGAATGCTAAAAGAGCCAGACTGAGCAGGCGAGTGCCATTCAATGACCTGAGAGCAACCTATTTTCAATGCATTCTCATACATCCTCCTGACTACTTTTTGTCACTGGTAGGTGATTTGATGTATTTTCCTTTTTGAAAATGTATTGCAGTCCTTTAGGCTATATATGGTGAATGCCTAAGTCCAATAATGCCGTTACCAAATATACATTATCATTGAAAATGTAATCGCTGCAAACCAGTACCAAGACTCACATTCCTCACTTGCTTTACCTTTAACCTCCCGATGCTTCATTGTAAAAAAATATGACTATTGGTCACTGAGGTAACTGAAACCTAGTTCTATCTTCGCATCGTTTCATATGCCATCGCGTAACCAATGTTTTCCTAGTTTCCATAGGCCTAGTGTCTTGGTGGTGGCAGTTAGGAGAAGGTTGGCCTGCGTTGAGCTGTCCAAGTTAAATGAGAAAACCGTAGGCCCATATTCTTTTTGAACTCAGCTATATGTTCAAGTGATTTGCTCATTTGTTCGTTGTGCCTGATTCGCTTGAACTTGCAGCGGCTACGGAGGTAGCCATGTACCCCACCATGATGTCATGGTGGAGTTTGGTTGGTTGTTCCGGTCCCAGTGTTGAAACAGGAGTAAGGTTTCAAAATATGCGTCCCGGTCGGAGACCGAGGTTTCTTCCGTGTGTTTTACAGATTACTCATTAGTTAGGACAGTTGCAATAGCAACCTGTTCGTTTAACTTTTAAAGAATGAAAACATGTTGGGGTTATTTTATATTCACTTTTAAAGATTATTAAATCCTCTCCATTT